CCCCCCCCCCCCCCCCAGATAGAGACAGAAAACAGGCTGTAAAAACAGAAACAAGATGGACGGTAGAGCTGGTGCCTGGGTGCATGTTGACCCTACACCTGCATGATTGGCATATTTTATTTTCGAAATAGTCAGTTGCCTTGGAGTAGGAGTGGGAAAGATGCGCAAGAGACATTGATCCAAGTATGAGGTCATGTGGAGGATTCAGCAGGAAACTGCAAGATAATCAAATTCTTAGTCTAAGATTCTTGGCTAAGTCAGGAAAGGTGAACAATCAGAGAAAATGCAAGACAACGAGGGACTGGAGGACTCAATTAAAGAGGATAAGGGGCAGCAAAAAAGGATGTGCAGGTTTCCTGAGTTCTAATCAGGCGCTGTTAGAGGCACCATCAGGGGTAGGAAGCCACCCTCACTGGGTGCTTACCTATGCAGGTGCTCAAGCCAATGAGGAGAACTCTGCCCTCCTGTATTAGATGGCAGAAACTTTCTGTACTGTGCTAGAAGAGAGATTAACAGGCACTGACAATTCCAGAGATAAGGGCCACTAGTACAGCTAAAGAGGCCAGCTCCCCATTTCAGCAGCCATAACAGCCGAACACATGCTTGCCATAACCTTGCCTTGGTCACTTAGAGGTCAGATGCCTGCCTCGTGGCAAGGAACCAATCAAAAGTTAGCTAGTGGTGCTATGCTTTATGGCTCTGGGTGTATATGTTGACCAAGAAATGAGAGGAAATGTAGGAGACTAAAGTAATAGAGAAAGGAAAAAAGAAATTTGTCTAAGAATGTCTATAGGAAGTTATAGAGGGTTAAAGCAAGTCGTAGAAGGTCAGAAGAAAGTTGTCGAAGGTCAAAGAAAAGGTTGTTACAAGTCAGAGAAAAATGTAAACTGTAAACTGTTATGGTTTCTCATGTCTACAAATAGTAAATTTTAAAATTGGTAGCATAAGTTAAAATTTTAACCATATCAAGTTAATTCAGTTTTAAAAGTTCTGTTTATTTCTCAAGTAAATTATGTATACTTGTTTTAAAATGTTCTGTTTCCTGGTATAACCTAAGTTCTGTTACAAGCATGTAGCTAAACAAAATGGTGCAAGTTCCTGCCAGCCACATGGCAAAATGGTCACATGGATGACTGGTAGCCATTTTGCTAAAGTTGAAAAAAAGAATACTTATACTAAAGGTGACCACGTGGAAATTAGAAACAAGTTTTTCAGTTAAGATTTAAAATGTTAATGCTTCTCTATATATTACAGAAAGACATTAAGGGAATTTAAATTTCTTTTTAAAACCAGTTTTTTTTTTTAAGTGTTTGTTTTGTTAGACCCCCGGAAAACTCAGGTATCGGGGTCCCAGGCCATGAATGTGGTCACCCCAATCACCAGGCAGATTCGAGAGCTTGCTGCAAACTGCACGAGGCTTTATTGTAATTTAACGAGCTAACCCCATGTTAGCTCAGGTCTTTCACCCACCCGCCATGGCAGATGGTTAGAAAAGACAGCTCAAACCCACTGCATACAGATCTTGTAGGGCAGCGTAAGGGGCGTGTCTAGGGGCACGCACAGGCTCAGGATTGGTGTGCCTCCAGGCTTAGAGGGCTTGCCCTGTGTTGATTGGTCAACTGGTTGTTATGGCCCATAGGCCCTCCCAATGATGCATCATTGCTGTGCGCTTGTCTGTAAAGCATAGCACCACCAGCTAACTTCTGATTGGTTCCTTGCCACGAGACAGGGGGGGTCTTACACAGCCTTGAGACAAAGAATTTGCTGCCTGAAGCATCCTGTAACTTGCCAATTAGCACAAAGGCAGGCAGGTATACCCATAGTAGTGTAGGCAAAGATTTGAAGAGAGCAGCAAGCAGCAGCCAGAGAAAGGCAAGCAATGCATTAATAGACAACTCTTCATAGCAGTATGTATCCGTTTACATGGCTGTCATATTTCATTTCATGTTGTCACTGTACCAATAACCTACTGTCTTACTAGGGTTTCTATTGTTGTGAAGAGACACCATCACCATAGCAACTCTTATAAAGGAAAACATTTAATGGAGGCCAACTACAGTTCAGAGGTTTAGTCCATTATTGTCATGGCAGGACATAGTGGCAGACATGATGCTGGGAAAGGAGCTGAGAGTTCTACATCTTGATCCACGGGCAGCAGGAGACTGTGCTACACTAGGTGTGGCTTGAGCATATTTGTGAGACCTCAAAGCCTGCCTCCACAAGGCCACACCTCCTAATAGTGCCACCCATGTGGGCCAAGCGTTCAAACTCAGAGTCTGTGGCGGCCCGCCGGCCTACTCAAACCACCAAACCTATTATACTATATATAATATAGCATATTATATACCAAACTATTATACATGTTTCTGGTATTTTTGCCATCATGGGGCAAATTGAAGAAAAAAAAATCTTTGTTTTCTTTTCTTTTCCTTTTGTTTGTTTGAAACAGTGTTTCTCTGTGTAACAACAGTCCTGGCTGTCTTGGAACTCATTTTGTGGACCAGGCTGGCCTCACTCACTGAGGTCTCCCTGCCTTTACATCTTTGTTTTCTTAGAATCAATTTCTGCAAGTGGAATTGTGAGCCAAACCATATAAATATCTTAGATGTTTAGGGTGTTCTATTTATTTATTTATTTATTTATTTATTTATTTATTTATTTATTTGGCTGGTTGGTTATTTTTGCTTGTTTGTTTGACAGTCTCTCTATTATGTAGCGATGGCTGTCCTGGAACTGACTATGTTGACAAGGCTGGTCTAGAATTCAAAAAGATCCTCCTGCCTCTACTTGCTGTAATTAAAGCATGTAATTTACCAGCCCATTGTAAAGGTTTTTGAAATGTAATTGGGCCTCTTGGGAAACAGTAGCAAATGCCTGTTCTCCTGCAGTATACCTGGGTCGCCATTTGCCTGAGGCTTACCAACTCATTATTTTCTTTTGTGTTTTTGTTTTGTTTTCCTGACTTGAAGCTTTTTCTTTGAGTTTACCTTAGTCTCAAGTGAATAAGAGTTTCTTTTCTCTCCTAGGGGAAACTGGCTCTGGGAAGACAACTCAGATCCCTCAGTACCTCTATGAAGGGGGAATTAGCCGCCAGGGCATCATTGCTGTGACCCAGCCCCGTCGAGTGGCTGCCATCTCTCTTGCAACTAGAGTGTCAGACGAGAAGAGGACTGAACTTGGGAAGCTAGTAAAACATTGCTTTATTTACTAACAAGCACCCCTGTGCTTCTGCCCTTCCTTTTTCTGAACAAGCTCTTCCTTACCCCTTCACCTCCCATTCCCATTGTTGTGTTGCTTTGGTTCTCTAATATGTAGCACAAACATCCTCAATCCTCTGCTTTAGCCTTCTGTCTGCTGGGATTACAGGGGTGTACCACATTGACAAGTTGAGTAGATCAGATGTTTTCTCATCTAGAGGATCTGGAGTTGAACATACTAGGCAGATGCCCTGCCACTGAGTTGGACCCTTTACACCTAGTTTATAAGTTTAAAACTTTTTTTTTTTTAAGATTTTATTTATTTATTTATTTATTTATTATGTATACAGTCTTCTGCCTGCATGCCAGCAGAGGGCAACAGATCTCATCCAAGGTGGTTGTGAGCCACCATGTGGTTGCCGGGAATTGAACTCAGGACCTCTGGAAGAAGAGTCAGTGTTCTTAACTGCTGAGCCATCTCTCCAGCCAAAGTTTAAGACTTTAAGACGCATTTTTTGTTTGTTAGTTTGAGTTTTTTGAAACAGGGCCTCACTTGTAGCCCTGGCTAGCATGGAACTTACAATATAGACCTATAGACCAAGTAGCCTTGTTTACTGTGATACCACAGTGCTGAGGACAGTGGTGGATTTACCTCAGTGGTGCTCAGTAAGTGTTTAATAAATAAAGGAGTCATATTTTCTCTCAGGTTGGCTATACTGTGCGCTTTGAGGATGTCACTTCAGAAGACACCAGGATCAAGTTCCTTACAGATGGCATGCTTCTTCGAGAAGCAATTTCAGACTCCTTGCTTCGAAAGTACAGCTGTGTCATTTTGGACGAGGCCCATGAGCGGACTATCCACACAGATGTGCTCTTTGGGGTGGTGAAGGCAGCACAAAAGAGGCGAAAGGAGCTAGGGAAACTGCCTCTCAAAGTATGTGGAACATGTTTAAGAACTAGGTCTTTCTTTGGGGGGTTGGTATTCGTCCTGCCCATTCTGCTTCAGGCACATGGGAGAAAGTTAACTGTAGTGGGAGTGACACAGGCCTCAACTATCTGCTTTATAGAAATGCTGTCCAACATTTATGCCCCATCCTCCTCACTGTTTTTCTATAGGTGATTGTGATGTCAGCTACCATGGATGTTGACCTGTTTTCTCAGTATTTCAATGGAGCCCCTGTCCTCTACCTTGAAGGTCGGCAGCATCCAATCCAGATTTTCTATACCAAGCAGCCTCAGCAGGATTATCTGCATGCAGCGCTTGTCTCAGTCTTCCAGATCCACCAGGTATGCTAAGGGGTCAAAAGTCCTGGCAAATTCTTTTCACCTTACAGTTAACTGTGAGTACAGTTAGCCTCTGAAAGAAAAGGACCTGAATCTGAGAGCTTGTGGACTGTATATCAGCAGCAGCAGGCTTATTTGTGGCCAGTGAGATGCTTTGCAGGTAAAGTGGTCTACATATTGAGTTCCAGGCCAGCTAGGAGTGAGACCATAGAGAAACTCAGCAATTGCTATGAAAGTTGCTTTTGGAATTTTAAAATGCCCTGCTTATGTTATTGTTCTTGATTTATCATCATTCACCATTATATGCTTATTTTTTAAAATAGTACGCCGGGATTAAGACTTATTACTTTCCACACCTTCCTGTGTTCTCTATCCTTTCAACATAGCTGTATCATAATGGTCTTTAAATCCAGCCCCAGTGATTACAATATTAGGAGCCTACATCACTAGCAACCCTCTGTCCCTATCCTGGTCTCCTGAACGATTTGTGCAAGCCTTCAGTGTAATACATTTCCACTGTGTCTCATGGCAGTCATGGGATGTTATGTGCAGTCTGTCTCTCTGAGTTGTTCATGATCCATCCAGATGGAGCAGTTTGCTCTGCTAGACATCTTTTCACTGTTTGCCTATTCCTTGCCCATGCTAGGCCAGTGCTCTACCACTGAGCCACATCCTCCCTCCATCGGTATCCCCCAGCCAGCCTTCTCCCCCGTGTCTTCCACCTTTCAAAAGTGATTTAAGCCCTCTTATCTCCCATTGTCTTGTCATTTGGGGACGCCTTTAGTTCCAGCACTCAAGAGGCAGAGGCAGGCAGATTTCTGTGAGTTCAAGGCCAGCCTGGTCTCCAGAGCGAGTGCCAGGACAGGCTCCAAAGCTACACAGAGAAACCCTGTCTCAAAAAACCAAAAAGAAAAAAAAAATCATTTTGCACTTATTGTATGTGTGTGTCGGGGGTGGGGGGATCGGGGGGATGTACTCAATCACAGTTCCTGTGAAGAGGAGAGAACAACCTAAAGGAGTCTTACTTCCCTCCACCATGTGGGTCCTGGGAATTGAATTCAGGCTGGCAGCCTTGACAACAAGTGCCTTTTCCCATTGAGCCATCTAGCCTAAAGAAGTTTTATATGGATTTTCTTTACTTCTGATTAGGCTTTCATTGTGTTGTCTTACAAAAGCAGTATGTTAATTTGCTTAATTTCAAAACTCCCTTACTTGGTTTCAGAACATAGTTGGCTGGCTCTCGTGTTAACAGCTCTGTGTATTGCTAGTAAGGATCTTCTCCCAGGGCGGTACCACTGACAGACTTGCTTCATCCTCATAATTAAAAAGTGAAAGAGAAAATTAAAAGCCCCTTGGAAACATCACCATCATCAATATTCTCTCTTCCTAGGAAGCCCCTTCTTCTCAAGACATCCTGGTGTTCCTTACCGGTCAGGAGGAGATCGAAGCAATGAGCAAGCCCTGCCGAGACATTGCAAAGCACCTCCCTGACGGCTGCCCTGCTATGCTCGTCCTTCCTCTGTATGCCTCCCTGCCCTACTCTCAGCAGCTTCGAGTCTTTCAAGGGGCCCCAAAGGTGAGTATGCCACCCTTCTGCCAGCCACGTCGATGGGCTTCAAATCAGATCTACCAACAGGGCCTGTGTGCCTGTCACATTGATCCAGAGAATTTGGAGGAGGACTACTCGGGTACCAGGTCAGCTACTTGAGAGGAACAGGTGTAGAGAGCACAGCTACAGGGAGAGCGGTCCTGTCCTGTGAGGAGAGTTGAGGGAAAGCACAAAGGTGTAGAGACTGACGGGTAAATGAATGGCTCCTCTGTGGACTGGACTATTTGTTGTGTGCCAGGTGCTGTGCTGACACCCGTAGATCATCTCTCATCATGGAATCCCATGAGGGATGCTGAGGCCCCCAAGAAGGGAGGTGGGATTTGCTTAAGGCACACACAGCAAGATCCCGGCAGGGCCAGGGTTCCAACTCCCATCTACCTGCCCACTTCTAATCTTGTTCCACTACATTTCATCACCTCAAATTAATCTTCAAAACCTCAGTGAAAGGAGCAGTGTCCTCCTTTCCTCTTTGTCCCTTGCCAAGTATAATGACTGGAATTGGTCTGACTATTTCTAATAATGAAGTGTCATCCTTTCTTGACCATAAGCAAGTTGTGGAAATGCGTGGCAGGAATGTTTTCAGCTTCTGAATCGTGTGTGTGTCATACGGCTTTTTGGTTTTCTTCCTCCTTTTAGGGCTATCGCAAAGTGATCATTTCAACCAACATCGCTGAAACCTCCATAACCATTACAGGAATAAAATATGTAGTTGACACGGGCATGGTTAAAGCAAAGAAGTATAACCCTGGTGAGAAACTGTAGCTCATGAATGTCTCCTGTGTATAGCAAGCAACCCCACCATTTCCTCCCAAGTAAACATTTCATGTTTGTGAGGGCCTGAGATTTGAATGACAGGGACAGTTCCAAGTCATGTCCATAAGAGACCTGGGGCAGGAAGTCAAGAGAGGGAAGAACTTGGTTACAGAGAACCTAGGAAGGACTGAGGTCTGAAAGCCCCCTGGAAGCTAGTATAAATGGTGGCAAGAAGGCCAGGGACAGCCCGGTACCAGCTCCTAAGGGCTACCAGAGTGTGGATATCTGGGCTTTCAGGGTTCCCAGCAAGGAGACAGGGCCCTTTTCTGGACAGGGTTCCCAGTAAAGAGACAGGAACCCTGGCTGGACAGGGTTCCCAGCAAGCCTATAGGGAAGCACTGCCTATCTCTTAAAATTGTCAAGCTGCCTTGAAGTCGGTTTTGCACATTTCTGATCCATGCGTTGCTTTATCCTACAGAAGATTTGAGGCCACTACACTTAATATTGCTCCGCAATATTTAATTGGCATGTTCTATTAAGCACTGGAGGGGTTGCTTTTCACACATATCTCCTGGTGACCAAGTGTGGGTCTCTAGTGCCTGGCACAAAATATTCCTGTACTTGAGAAAATTAGTGGCTTTTACTTCCAAGGGAAAAAAAAAAAAATCACATGATCTGTTTTCTTATAGAACTAAGAAGGAAGACAAAGGACTCTGTCATCATTGGTTGATACATGATCAGCCTTCCCAGTTAGGTAGAAATTCTCTTGGCATCAAAATCCAAGAATCCCTCAGTGCCAGGCAGCTGGGGTAGTTGGCCCTCCCATGAAGTAAGCCCAAACTTCTGAAACCATTCTCCTGCCCTCTTTCTTGCAGAGTTTTGTGGTGTTTTTTGTAACATCTCACACATGACTCATTGCTAGGTTCAGTTTTACTGTGAGGTTTAAAGTGACTGAGCAGCCTAGGTTTGTGCTTTCTTGTTTAGCCTTGAGTTTTTCCAGACCCCTGTGTTGCAGAAACACTCAGTGGTACTCAGCATCATTTCTTTTTGCCAGCATTCTAGAAACAGATTGCTTGTGTGATGAAGCGAAGCACTCATGGCCTTTTCTCCCTGCAGATAGTGGTCTTGAGGTGCTAGCTGTACAGCGAGTGTCAAAGACCCAGGCCTGGCAGCGAACAGGGAGGGCTGGCCGAGAGGACAGTGGCATCTGCTACCGGCTCTACACTGAGGATGAATTCGACAAGTTTGAGAAGATGACAGTGCCAGAAATCCAGAGGTAGGATTGTACCCGCACTGCGCCATACATCCCAGCCTCTTTCCCACCTGCTTCTGTCCATGGGCTGCAGCTTTCATTAACGCTCTCTGGGGAGCAGTTTTGACTCAGTGGGATCAGGGACAGACAGATGACCCTCATTTCTCCCCTCACAGGTGTAACCTAGCAAGTGTGATACTGCAGCTCCTAGCAATGAAAGTTCCAAATGTACTCACCTTTGACTTCATGTCCAAACCATCTCCAGGTAAGCTGGAAGGTAGACAGACAGACAGACAACAGCAGAGGAGTTCTTTCCCCAGGAAAAGTATTCTGAGGAAGAAAAAAAGTATTTTGGTCATGTTCTTCTGTTGATTTGATTTCATTTGTTATGAAATGGTAGGTTCCATGTTATAGCACCCTTGTATATGGACCAGGGAGGTCATCAAGCATCCATGGGACACTCCTGAAGCCTAATGAGAAGATAAAGAGAGCATGTTCCTTTGTGTTAAACTGGGATTTGACTAGTAGTCCCTCCCTTCATTAGTAATCTCTCCTGGAGGAAGAACCTTTAAGAACTGGCACTAGGTGGGGCTGTGGTGGCACATGCCTTTAATCCCATCACTCAGGAGGCATTGTAAATCTTTAAAAACACAAATAGCACATAGGATGCACTCCTAATACTTTTTTTTTTTTAATTTTGAAATTCCTAGAAAGGGACAGTAAATATAAACTATAAGGTTAATATGGCCAACATCTGTGTGATGCTACCCACACCAAGCCCCTAAACCCCCACCCAGCCATTTGCCTCCTTCCCATTTCTCCGGGTAACTGCTCTCCCATGATTACTTTATACATCTCTTGCTCTTTAGTGGTACCATTAAGGCTTAGAAAATGTGAGTACAATGGTGGGTGGTCTTGGTGGTGTTTGTAGACTTGTAAGCACCCAGAAGCACTCAACTAGCTGCATCTTCTTCCTGTTTTGGACTTCTAGCTCCTTTTTATGTCTCCGTTTCTGTAGATCACATCCAGGCGGCCATTGCCCAACTGGACCTGTTAGGTGCTCTTGAACATAAGGATGACCAGCTTACCCTGACTCCAATTGGAAGAAAGATGGCAGCATTTCCTTTAGAGCCCAAATTTGCCAAAGTAAATGACCCCTCCTCCTCATTCCCCTTTCTCTGCAATACAGGTTAGGTACTGCCCAAGCCCAGTATTTCTGAACTAACCTCATTTGCTCTCTTAAATACGACATATCACCCCACTCTGTATGCAGTGCTGATTTATGTTGTGTGTGGGATTCAGACATCAGTCACAGCCCTGCCCACAAAGATGTGGAATCCTGTGGGGATGGCATCTTTTTGTTTTACAAAGAAGTGAATGGCATTGACACTCCTTAAAGGGAAGCTGCAAGAGAATGTACAGAAACACTAATCAGAAGCATGGAAACTTGACTCATGTGTTTTCAATTTGACTTTCTAGACTATCCTCCTGTCCTCCAAATTCCACTGTACGGAAGAGATTCTGACCATAGTCTCCCTACTGTCTGTGGACAGTGTCCTTTACAACCCTCCTGCCCGGAGAGATGAAGTACAGAGTGTCCGAAAGAAATTCATATCCAGTGAAGGAGATCATATCACCCTGCTCAATATCTATCGAACCTTCAAAAACATAGGTGGGAATAAGGTAAGCCTCGTCCAGGCTTTCAGGCAAGTGTTTTTAAATATACCTTCTTTCTAAAGAAGCAACACACACACACACACACACACACACACACACACACACACACACACACACACACACACAAAAGCCAGCTGTCATCTCAGAAATGTGTATGTGCTGAGAATCACTAAAAAGAAGCATTAGTTGATTCTGTCCTTCTGTGGAATGGGCACATGGGGTTTACTTTGGGGATTCAGATTTGGCAGTGAGCATCTTTATCAGCTGAGCTGTCTCACTGGCCCTCGCTTTATATTTAAACAAACAAAAGAAGTGCTGATGCAGTAGAAGCGCGTAGTCCTTCCTTACTGAAGACTGCTCTACCCTTGGTGTGTGTTCCACCAAGAGGATGACATTCATTTGATTGTCTCTAAAGCAGGGTCTTGCCTATGTACATAACCACATAACCCAGCTGACCTCAGACTTGTGATCTGCAGCCTTCCAACTGCTGGGTCTTAGGTATGAGCCACCACGCCCAGCACTAAGGACATGCTTTCCAGCAGGGCCTGATAGAATGTGCCAGGCAGGGAGCATTTACTCCACATCCATTCACAGTCTGTTCTTTCAGTTCATCTCTTCCTCTCACCGCAGTGGTGCCCTGCTCAGGACTCCTTGTGTTCAGAAGAGAGAATTCTGTGGGGCCAACAAATGAGTGAGCAAGTAGACTTGTTGGGCTAGGCTCAGTTTCTCTGGCGAACAGGCACTTGCCAGGCTGGCGGCCCCTCCTCGAGTGTGGGAGAATTCCCATCTCCACTGTCCCGCTAGCTGTCTGTTGAAATCACTTGTGTAATCTGTTTTCCTATTGTTTTAAATCTTATTGCCTCCCTTCCTGAGGATTCAAGCATCTTTACATTCATGTATTAGGCATTTCTATGTCTTTTGTCTATTTTTGTCCAGTTTCTTGGTCTTTTCTCACTGTTTTTTAATAATATTCTAGAGGTACTCATCCTTTATGGGTATGGCGAAGCATGCATTACCAGCCTGTAGCTTTTCTTATGACTACTCTAGAAGGAAATCTTTAAGTTTTATTGTAGTTATTCCTTTTGACACCTGAACAACCCTCTGAATTCAGCAGTGCCATCCAGATTTTGTCATGTACATGTTTCCTCTGCATAGAAATGAGAGATTGAGATCTCTGCTTTTCTTCTCTTCAGGACTGGTGCAAAGAGAACTTTGTCAACAGCAAAAATATGCTGCTAGTAGCTGAAGTCAGAGCACAGCTGAGGGAAATCTGCTTAAAGGTAAGGTAGTACTTCCCTTTCAAGGAGTTTTTATTTTATTATGGGGATCTTGGATTGCTTGCAGCCGGTAGTATGAAAGAAAATCTCATTGTAGAAAAATTTAAAATGCACAAGAAAATAAAAGTTACCCATAATCCTATTCTCTCTCTCTCACTATTGTGGTTTATTTCTAGAACTCTATGGTGATTTTGGTTTGTTTTTTTTCTTCCTCTCCCCAACCCCACTCCACCCTAGCACTGGTGATTGAACCCACTGGGCCATTCTCTGTGGCTGGGCCATTTAGCTTCTTTTTCACACAGTTACATTATATCTATGACCTAGTTTCCATTGTGTGGGGAGTAGGCGTGGAACTCTAAACATTATGCATAAAATTTATAAGCTTTATATAACTTTTCTGATTTTAAAAATACTACTAAAAATTAAGAAAAATTGAAAAGCACGAGGGAGGCAAAAAGATGTAGCTTTTCTCTTTTAAACTAGGGTCTTGCTTATGTATGTAATAACTTTGCTGTGTACTTGATACTTGGAGGCTGCTCAGTGTGTTCCGTAAGGAGAGTGGAACCTCTGTCCCCATCTCTCCTGTGGTTTGTTCTTGTGTGAGCTGTGTTGGACAAGCACCCTGTGTCTGCTGAAGCTGTCTTCACTTTAGTAGCTTCTCTTCATGTTCCGGATGCCTCTGCTGGCTGCACTCATCTTTGCAATGTCAGGGCTACAAAGGTTCTCCACCATCCAAGTACTCCCTAGTTCATATACCCAGGATGGCTGCAGTTCCAGCTATCAAGTTTGTTTGCAGTGTCCTGAGTGTAGGGGTGGGGAATGGGGAAGGAGGGAGGCAACCTCAGCACTGAGATTCCCAGGAGCCTCAGTCAGTCTCTGCTTTCCAGTCCCAGCAAGTCTTCAGCTGCCTGTTGGAGGGATGCAGCTGTGGTCATGGTGCAGACTTTTGGAGCTTCAGGCTCTCTGCCAGTGACTCCACAGGTTGGTCCACCCAGCAGCCTCAGGTTTAGAACTGTCAGGCTTTACAGCTGTCCTCAGCCCTGTCCTCCTCAGCAGCCTCTCTCTGTGGAGCGGGGCTGACTTCAGCCTCTATAGACATAGAGACTGCTGAGCTGCTTCTCCCACTGCAGGCCGTGGAGCCCAGAGTCTTGTGGCAAGTGTTTTATGTTTTATCACCAGGTACACTCTAGGCAGCTGAACTGTGTCTTTGGGTTTTGTTTGTTTGTTTTATTGATTTTAGATTTATTTGTTATTTTTAGATTATTTTCTGTGTGTTTTGTATGTATAAATGCACTGCGTGCATGCTTGATGCCCACGGGGGTCAGAAGAGGACATCAGATCCACTGGAACTATAATTTTAGATGGTTGTGAGTGACCATGAAAGTGCTGGAAATCGAATCCAGGACCCCCCTGCAGGAGCAATAAATGTCCTTAACCACAGAGCCTTCTGTCTGCTCTCACTCCCCCACCCT